TAGAATATGTTATAAATGATTAATTGGGGTTTTTTTGTTGCTTTTTTAATTGTTATTTTTTAAGAGAATATAATGAGAAGCCAAACGTCAGACTTGATTGCTCCCATCTCACTGTCCAGCAGACACACCGACTGCAGGACAGTAACTCGGAATGTTCATTGCTGCAGTGAAGATTACGTTATGTCTGTAGAAAGTTTTTATTCCAGTCAAATGGATCACATCGTCTAGTTCCCTGTGCACATGTCTAAAGCAGACATAAGTTACATACGGGCTTTCAGTTAAGAAAATTCATGTATGATTCATAATGTGAGCACGGATTTTGGTGGATTTTTTTTAATTTTATTTTTTGAGAGCTTTTAAACCCAGCTGTGTAAGTGGCCAAGAATAATTTATTCTTAGAATACAAGGAGTAGAGCTACTAAAAGCTCGTATATTCATTGTAGAACCCCTTTGTTTAGAGGAAAGACTTCACGTTGTTTGCTTCAGCACTCTGCAAGGATTTGCAGTGTACCTGCTTATGCCTGTGCACTTTGCTTGTGTGAAATTACTCTGTCTCTAAACCCATTGCTGTTGTCTCTGTGTCTTGCTGCCTGATTCATCAAGAATTTGGCTGGCCTATCAAACCTTTTTTTTTTCTTTTTTTTTTCCCCCTTTAAATTGCATGGTAGCCCTTGGATTGCTGGAAGGAAATGAGCAGAAAGTTAATTCTGATGATCTTTTTCCTTCCACCAGAATTCCTGATCCTATTGAATATTCTGTACTCCACATCTGTGACAGCACAATGAGCCTTTGTTCATTTTTTAATCTAAAGAGAAATCTGCCGTGGGAGGTTGCACAGGGTGATAGCAGCCCAATTTAAAAGTCTCAATTATTTATTTTTAAAATACTTGGCATCTGTCTATGGAAAATTCACTTGCTTGCTTTCCCGTCTCCTAGAATTGCTTTGAACTCATGCACGTCTTTTGGGATCTATCAAATGCTCTTTGTGGCTTTTCTCTCATAAGTGCTGAATGAGTTGAGCCATGATGGTCTGCATCGGAATATAAACTTTCTGCCTTTGTAATGGGGCAGTAAGAGGCATGGTGGTGTCTGTCCACATGCCCATCCTGCCAAGCAGGGAAGGAGCGCCCAAACAGAGCTCAAAACAGTTTATTTGTGGACAGGTGATGGATGGGTAGAGGTTGTTCATGTGATGTGTGCTCCATTTTTGCAAGCTAGTGATGTTTCGTAGGGAGCGTTGAGTTATTCAGAGGCAATTGCACTTAAAATCAGAACTGAGCACTGATTTTAATAATGCACGTGTGCATTTTGGACAGCCAGTCTTTGTAAGACCAAAGTGATAGCAAACCAGTTCTGAGTCAAAATCCAATAACCTCAAAGTGGAGCCCAAATTTTATTGGGGAATAGCTGCAGTTTGGACGAATGTATTTGAAGAAAGGTGTTTGTGCAGAAGTAAGCTGACCTGAGCAGGAGAGAACTGCTGCCCTATGGCACAGTGCAGGACTGCAGGTGGGCAGTAAGAGCATGCTCTGGGCTGGGAAACAATTCAGGTGTTGGATGTGTGTGCTGCATTTCTTTGTAGAAGAGTTGTTGCCTGGAAAAACGCCTGCAGTGCTTGGAAACAGTAACAGCTGGGCATATTTCTGGATAGAAAAGAGTAGAAAACAAGACGTGGTTTTGTAGGATGACTGCAATTATCTCCTGGGTTATGGCAGTGAGGGTTTTTTTGCTAATCCTCTGTTTTAAGGCACTTGTGACATTCTGAAGATTTTCTCCTTCAGTGAAATTTTTTCAGGCTTAATCTCAGCTGTACAGCGAATCTCTCTCAAGTTTGAGTGAAAACAATTCTACTCTTTCAGAGTGTGAAGAGTGTCATAGCATGAAGTTTTTCCATTAGAAGCAAGCGTTGCCCTCCCTTTGACTTGGTGAAGCTCTGTAACTGCAGTCGTCGTCAGTAGAATTTCGGGATGGTGAGAGTCATCCTGCAAGAAAAGCACCTTTATGTGCCTCACACAGGTCTCTTTCAGCTCAGCCTTATCACAACACTGAAATTTTCGGGTTGCTTGGGCTCTTCCTTTTTTTTTGGTAATAGATCTTCACAAGGTATATGCTTGCTGCATTGCTGCGATTAAGAAAGCCCATGTAAGCCTTTCCTGGCCTTGTTAGCTGTAGCTGGTCTAGATGTGAAAGGCTGATAAATGTAATATATTGTGCTATAGAGAACAGGGCTCTTGTGCCCCCTGGGACCTGTGCCACTGGAAGGTGATTTGGAGCACTGACAGCAAAGAAGTGAGGAGCAGAGCGTTGTGATTGCAGTTAGTGTCAAGCTAAAGAAACTAGAAAGGCATTGCAGGCTTTCCGTGGCTGAGGGATTCAGAGCTGTTGAAGAAGATAGATTTTTTTAAAATTTTGGAAATTAGAAGCTGTGTGAAATCATACAGAGAAATGTGTGAAACAGTGGCTTACAGTGCTGAAGTCAGGCAACGGCAGGATTCAGGTGGGATGTGCAAGCTTGAATGATTCTCCATTATGAATTTCACAAATAACGTATCATAATAAGATCCAAATTTTCATTAGCTTGAATGCTCCTTTGTTGTATTGTGTATTACTGCTTTGAATGTACCAGGCAGAGACAGTAGAAGTCATTTATATGCAAAGTGCACCATACATTGTATATACTAATTATATAATAAGGAGTTATAATGAAAATTTTCCAGCATGTTTAGGCCACTTAAGTATGCAGTGAAATTAATTTTGTGGCTAACTGTCTTATTCCTGATTTGTACTTAAAGAATATTGTGCCATCCATGGAAAATACTAAACAAAGTGTCTACCTATAAATGCATGTGAGATTATAGATATTATGTAAAAAAGAACAGAAATCTTTAGTACATTTGCGTTTTATTGTAAATTGTGGGAAAACAGATGAGATTGTGTTATGGAAGAGAACATGGGATTACATAATCAGAAAATTGTCATAATACTAATGCTGAGGTGTCCAGGTGTGGCTTCTTGAGCAGCTTGAGTCGTGCAGCTTTGAGGATGTAACTTTTTCATCTTCTTAACATTGTTTTTGCAGTGTGTGCGTGTGCAAATTCTGTAAAAGCAATTCCTGGGAGGTTCCACTCCTAGAATGTTCCTTCTAGCTGTATGAGCGAGTAAGGAAGCTGCTGTATGACAGATGACGATAATTTTTCATACAAGACAGTTCCCCTTGACTTGATGGATGCAAGGAGAGGAACCACGTTCCCTGGAAAACCACCAGGGAGCAGCGGGAAAATGTTTCAGTGTGTTTGGTAATCAAGGCAGAGTGTGGTTCTTGATTAGTCTCTGAAATTGCACTGCTGCGACGAGCGATCTGAATTAAGCGTTTTTTTTACCAAAGCCCTTTGCACTGCTATCCAAAAGTGTATTGTAAAAATTAATTTCCTTAAAATGCCGTGAGCAAAATTGATCCAAAATGACTTTGGCATATGCTGAACTCACTCTGTGATACTTTTCTTCACAAGCTCCTATGAGGGCCATATAGTGAGGTATTTTATATCAGGTATACCTCATTTTAGGCTTTATTTTAAAGGGGAGTAAAATGTAATTTGCAAGTGTTTCGTGAGCTTTTATCTGTGCTGACTTAATTGAAGTCTCAGCAATCCCACCTGAAACAAACTGTTTGTAATTTCTGCATCAGTGATCAGTGGCACCTCAGCCTGCGTGTGTTCAAAGCACGAGTTCGGACCTGGAGGCAGCACCAACTTTGTGAGATATTGCCAGCATCCCAGTGTGCTGCGAGTGTGCTGGGAATAGGGAGGCCGAAGTAGGGGGAGAAAATTGCTTTCCAGTTTTATGAAGCTAGAGTGAGTGCCAGGTGATTTTTTTCCTTTTTTTTTTTTTTCTCCTTTTTTCTTTTGTGAGCAGTTTGGAGTGTGGTCTTATTTTATCCTCCTGTTGCAAAAGTACCTCCAGCTCAGAAAAGACCCATCTTCATCTTGGCCTTCTCTCTGTATGGTGATGTTTTGTTAGATATATAGGTGCTTTGCCAGTATTGTACATTACAGAGAGTATATAGGGCCGGAAGCCTGTGAATCAGTAAAAATGAGTGGGCCCACATTTGGGAGAAATGGAAGGATATCGTCTCATCTGGCCATACACAAGATCTGGGAAAAGTATATTTGAAGAAGGCAGGATTTCTCATGCTTTGCCATCTGAGAAAAGCCCCAGCTGATGCCATCAGTGGGTTTCCTTGCATACAGACTTACAGGAGAGAGCGATGCCAAGCAAAGTGCCAGGAGACATGGGCAGTCCAAGCATACCTATAGCTGCATTCGGCTGCACTGTGGGACTGTTCCTCATCACCCAGTAACGATGTGAAAATTGCCCTGAACAGTGCAATTTGTTATTTGTCCAAAATGCCATCAGAATATCCATTTTTGTCTCGCTTATACTTCTTGTTGTGCACTAAAGCTTTGGAAGTAGAAGCCATAAAATGAAGTCAGAAAGAATTCTGACCCAAACTGATAGTCCTGAATATCAGAGGCTCATGAAAATGCATTGCTACAGAGGCACACTTTTATCTTACAAATTGCTTTAGGAGTAAAGGAATATCTCTAAACACTGAAATCGTTTTCAAAAATTCTCTATGGTTTTTGAGATAAAAATGTCTAGCACATTTAACGGAACAGGAGATGAGCCTGCATTGGAAAAAAAAAAGAAATGAAGAGATCCTGGCAAAAAAAGCACAAAGTTTGCCATCCAAACTGACTGGCCATACTGTTTATCCTTTGGTTTGTTATTAAAATGCATTGCGTTGACTCTGTTCCCTGGTTACTGTCCCAGTAGGGCGGCCGTGCTATTAATCAAGATGCTAGTTAAACAATATTGTTCAGCAGAATTCCTCTATCTCCGTTTCATAACACTGGCTGTATGTACAGCTATATGCACTACCTCACTGAAAGCTGGATGAATCAACACTGACGTAGTTTTGTTATTGTTTTTAATTTTTACAGATGCAGATTTATTTCTACAATCCCGATGACTTTGACAGTTTTGGAACAGCAGTTCTAGAAAACAGGGAAGTAGGAGCCATGGCCGTGTTTTTTCAAGTAAGTTTAAACAAGGGTGATATCCATAAACCAAAGCTTTCACCAAGTGCTGTTTAATTCATTGAATTGTTTCAGGTTTAATGGATGCATCTGTTTTCCTGTTCCTACCTGTCTAAGTGAAAAATATTTCATATTGTCTATGTGTGATTTAAAATGTAAATAAGCATATTTAGAAATGTAATGAAGAATTTTGCATCAATTGTTCCGATTTTATAGCCGCTTTACAGATGCAGATTGAGAACACATTTATCATGGAACTTCCTTCACTGCTGAAGCACATTGCTCAGGTCCCCAGAATACTAACAAACTGCTGTGAACTGATTCTGCGTAGAGAAAACTTAAAATTCAAACATAGCTTGGGAGAAAATTAATCAATACGTTTCATCTGTCTCATTTGCAGCACCTTCTTCTAAATTGTCATAGTAACAAGTTCTTGAGGAGACCTGGTTTCCAAATGAGTGGATTTACGCATTCCCTATTTTGAAATGCATCCTCAAAAACATGAATGCTCAGGGAGCTCATCTGTTGGTTCAGGGTGCAGCCTGCTGATCACGGTGGAGGGCAGGTCAGGTCACCTGGTGGTTCAGCAGCATGGGGTTGGGTCAGGTTTGATCAGGAATAGGGTTTGTCCTTATACTGGCATGAGGGCGAGCTGAATGGAGTGAGTTGGAGCAACTCTGTATCACTAAACTTAGGAGAAATTTCTTCTCAGGAAGAGCGGTGAGGAATTGGAGCAGGCTGCCTAGGGAGGTGGCAGAGGTGCTCAAGAAAAGGGTGGATGTGGCACTGTGTGACATAGAGCAGTCACAGGCATGGGCTGACAGTTGGACTAGGTGATCTTGGTGGTCTTTCCAACCTTGATGATTCTATGTCAAGCTTCCCAAATTAATAAGTAGCTAATGAAGATTTTGAAGTAATTCGAGGTGTTGCTTTTTCAAAGGAGAAAAGATGAGGGAGGGAAGAGCAAGGGAAAACATCAGTCCTTTGTGAGGTTTCACACTAGCTCTTACTGTGGGAGAAAATGATCTTACTGTTATGTCTGTGAAGTTAGATTAAAAAGAACATGCAAGTACCCATATGTAAATACCTCCTTTCTCTATGATGTTAGAGTGACAGGTGTGACTGTACTGCTTAAATTAAATAAGGTTGTCTTTTTTTTTTTTATGTCACTGCCTTTGATCAAAAGCTTTGATAAGGATAAAAGGGCGAATCCTCGTGTTGCATACATTGCTGCAACTCTGCTGACATCAGGCTAGTGGAAGTAGCTAGCACATTAAATTCATCACTGCTGATTTCTGAGCGCTTCTGTGGCGTTTCATGTTAGAGTGCAGTTGGTGGAGCTGTGATAATTTACAGTGGCATGGCAGGATGCGTCCCCAGACTTGTTAATGGTGATGTGCTGGCGGAAGGGTTGGGCAAATTGAATTCGGCCTGACGTGACAACAGTTTAGAAATAGAACAACCAAAGTCACTGTTTTGTGATTTAGGTGATGATGAAGAGATGCTGTGTGTGTATGGTGTCAGGAGCAAGTGCTATGTCACGGTATGCATTACATGTTCCAGCATAGTGTGTCTAAATTTAATTGCCTGAATTTAATTGCAATTCACTGCCCAAATATGCTTCACCTAGGCTGCATGAAATGCTGCCCCATGTCACAATGTTTCCTAGTCTACATGTGACATTTCTGCCAAAAAAAAGCAGTTTTTCAAGGATCTTAACAACAAGTGGGACTGTTTTGTATTCCCCCCCCTGCAAAGCCAGGCGCTGCGTTATCAAGCATCCCACTTTGTACAGTTTAGAGGGAGCCATTGAACTCACTAAAAATACCCTCAAACAGTCTGTAATTCTGTTTTTTTAAAAAAAAATCTTTGATTGCAAGAGAGCTCAGACTCCTTGAGACCACAACCAGGTGTGTTGGTCCCCTGAGAGAACCAGAAATCTATACTTTTCATCATTTCTAGTCCTGCAGGCCACAGGACATTGGGCTGTAAAGTCCTGATGATGGTGCAGCTGGGCTCTACTGCTCCAGGAGCCATGAAATCTGAAGCCATTACTGATAAAAAGACTGTTCTCTTCCAGAGTGATGGGAGTAAGGTAAATCCTTGGCAAAGTGACCCAGCAACAAGTCAGTTTGTGGCTGAAAGGAAATGGTTTTCTTCCTTTTTTTTTTTTTTTTCAGTTCCTTGCCTCTGGGTTGAAGTGATAGATCAGCAGTGTGCCATTAAACCTGTCTGTATCAGATGTTCCTCCTGGGTAGCTCTGCTCTGAGACAGAAGGCTGCCTGGGAAGATTTGTAGAGCCCAGAGCCCTCATGCTCAAAGGGCTTGTGCATTTTCTGGCCCATGAGAGGTGTGGGGTACTCAATGTGGGAGCTGCCCATCGTGAGGCCAGAACTTGTCCCATGGAAGTGAAGATTTTGTGCTTAGGATTATTAATTGATGGTGGTAATGCTTTGCAGATCTATACAATGTTAGACTGAGGAGCTCTGCGATGGTGACCCACAGCTCGGGGTTTTGTTGGCTGTTTTGTTCAGAAATACCTGGTGTTCCTTTAGCCTTACTCCCCATGGCACAAAATAAGCCAGTATTTCAGGCAACTAATTTCAAAACTGCCTTTTGAAACTGGCTCTCAGAACTGTTGAAGCAAATATCCTTAAGATGTCCACATCCTTATTTTGATAAACAGTTTTAACTTTCTGAGGACTATTTTCATAGTCTGCTGTTTTCCATGTATATAGCCCCATCTCTAACTCAGTTATTTAGAACACAGCATTTAAGAAATATAGTAATACAAGGCACACTGTTTTGGTTGTGTTGTTTTTGTTTGTTTGTTTTTAAAAATATATTGGAACACTGAATTGCAGGTGCTTTTCTGTGTAAACATTTTAATGTAGAAATTATTGGCTAGGTTTGCCATTGAGTCAAGACTTGGATTTTGACTAATGTGTTAATGCTGTGTTGGAATGAATGTGCATTGCACTGACTGAATTCAGGGTCTGGCATGCGTGTTTTGTTTGACTGATGTTCACAAATGTTCCCTTGAAAATCAGGTTCTCCAGTGAGTGAACATTATACTGAGCTGTATAATTATTGGTGAAACATTAAATAATTAAGAACCCTCTTTCCTGGTTTTTAAATAATTTAACTTAGACTATATAAGAATTTTCCATTTTGAATTCACTGTTTCAAGGGCAATTTCCAGGTAAAGTACATTGGTTCTGAACTTGGATAATTGAAGCACTTGGAATTATACCGTAATTGCTGATAATCGCATATGTGCTTTTCTCTTTGCTTTCATTATAAATTCTGTTGATAAATTCTCTTTTTGATGCCATGCTGCAGGTCAGTTGACCTGACAAATGAAGAACATTACTAGCTAAAATTGGGAAACAATGCTTGCATTTCCAAACTGCTGTAAACGCACATCTCAGTAGTTCGCTGTGGGCAGACGCTCAGGTGGTGTCACATGAAATAGCTGTGGGGATTCTGCCACAGGTATTTTCAATTTGCAAATGTTTTGCTAGTCTGAAATCTCTAACAGGGTTCTGAAAGCTGATTTTTGCACTGGCATGCATGTTTTAAAGTGAAAAGGCATATGGAGAAGAAGGCTCCAAAGATACGTGGACCCTTTTCTGACCATAGCATCACTTCAAGCAGGGTGCTAGGGAACATTGTACATGCAACAAATAACGAAGCAGCAGATGATTTAGCTCCACTGAAAATTCTTGCAGACTTCTCTTCTGTAGCTCATTATTTGGGACAAGATGAAGTGCCTCACTGTACAAAACACAAAAAGCAAGCAGAGAAACCCTTGACCATGCTCTATGCTCTGTACGCTACCTCTGAGGAACCTCTCATTCTCAGAGAGGCCACAAGTCCACAGGAATGTGACAGAGTAGCAAAGTGACTTAGGCACCTGTCATCTCTTCTTGGTTGAATTATTTTAAAAGCTGTTCAGCTGGAACAAGCTGAAATGGAAAGAAGGAGCTCCATTCTGCTGATGCCAGGAGGTATAGCAGTCATTCAGACCATAAACATTCTTCACTGAGGGCCAGGGAATCTGTGGAAGAAGTGACTTTTCCTTAAAGCAAGAATTGTGGTGGAAAGCACTCACTGTAGTTCAAGAAGAGGGAATCAAAATATCAAAATACAAAGCAGCAGTGTAAGCCAAAAACCTCCTGTGTTGGGTTTTTTTTGTTGTTATTGTTAAAGAAAACTTGTTTGTGTTTTTTAAGCAAAGATCAGAGTGATTTGGAGAGAAATAAGGTTTGCCCATGACTTCTCTCGGCCTCCTTGGCAGAACTGGACCTGTCAGTGTTGGGGTTACTTGGTGCATCTCAAGGTGCAACCGGTGCTGGTGGAAGGCTCATAATTTCCTATCCATTGTTTGCAGCCAGCAGCATCCTCTTTGTCTTTACTAAAGGCTTCAGGATTTGCAGAGGCGGCGACACTGCAGTGATGGGACTCATTGGCGAGGCCCACCCATCCGCCAGGACAGGTTGAGGAGCCAACAGGACACGTCAGTCTTGATTTAACAGTTCCTACCTTGAATAGTTCATGTGGGTGCGTAATTTCAGCCCGGTGAGGTTCAGCTCATTCTTAATAATATTCTCGCTCCAGGCCTCAATTAATTGTCAGGCCGAGCTGGTTTTGAAGCAAGCCAGGAGTGGAAGGGAAGGCACAAATCTCTCTGTTTCCTGAATCATCCATTCATACACAGTCGTGTAATATATATTTATAAGTCACATTTGAAATGAATAGTTACTTGGATTAAATGCATTCAGAAATATTGCACAGCCCAGTTTTAACCATCTAGCAATATAATTCATTGCACACTTCACTATTGCTTTATTAAAGCCAAACTTAAATGTGTTCAAAACAAACATATTGCTTTTGCGTTTAAAATATTCATCTTTTGGGCCTGTGGTAGATTCATTACAGCAGAGAATACTTCATTCTTTGATTACTGCTGTGAAAAGACACAATACTGATTCCCTAAG